ATCCGCACATTGCTTCAGATGCTCTTGGGGTGCTTATTTAACAATGATGGGTCATGTCACCTTTAAACCAATCACAGAGGGTCCTGGAAAGATATCAGCAGCTGTTCTGGGGTAAAACTATTTTCAAAAAAATGCCCGAGCTCTCCAGGACGCGAGAAATTAAATGAGTTACGGAGACAATAACTCTAACGGAGTCGGGCTGAGTTTGAAAGTGAGTCATTCGACAGCTGGACGGCAGCATGTGGGGAAACTGTTGATCGCTTATGAAACTGTGAGAAGCACGATTTGGTTTTAATAAAGACGAGGCGAGCGCGGGAGAAAATGTGATTTCTCAGCTGACCTTGAAAAAACCCGTATTAAATCATTGAGAGCTCCAAACTGCGAGCTGTAACATTATTACCGCGCTAAAATAATAACAGAGCTCAGAAATATACAACCAGTCGACCGTGCGAGGTAGGAGCGACGGTTTTAGAGTCAGAAACAAATGAGTAAATACGAGACTTTCTTTTTTAATCTTCTTCTCATCTTTCCTGATTTATTCTTTCTGTTTCTAATCAACAAATTGCTTTCACTCCACGCCGTGCTGAGTCATTATTCGGTCCAGTCCTGACTCGGCTTATGAAGGGTCTATCTGGGGGGTGAGAGGGTCCATGTGCCCAAGTGGCTGGAAGTGTGACAAGTGCCTTTAAGTGAGAACACTTTTCAGGAAGGTCAGAAGAGAGTCCTTAAGGGACACTCTGCCACACACCGGAGGATACTCAACATGCTCAGGACAATCAAGATGTTGCCTCTGGATTTATAAGGAGGTGGAGGAGAGTTCTGTCGAGCATTCGGCCGCTTCTCATGAATAAACCTGAACGGCTTCTTATAATGATGGACGGCAAACCGGGAGGTGATAGTGATCCACATGGATTCAAAAAGAACACTTGGTGTTGGATGCATGTTGGGTCCATTAGACTTCACTTGTGTTGCCTCTCCTATACAAACTATGTGTTCCTTTCTGTTGTCCATGTGTGACCAGAGCTTCAAAAGGCCACTTTAGTCCACTGGTTTGAGCCCTGCGCTCTCTGGCTGACTGGCCGTCGGCTGCACATTAATCAGCCAATTATCAGCCCCGGCCAGCAACGTTTCCGCGCCAAACCGGCCCCCTAATCCAATCACCTTGGGGGAGTGGGTCAGAAGGTGCCCTGATTGGATAACCCGGGGCTGGGTCGCCGCGCCCATGACCCGCTGCTTTGAATTGGTAATGACGTTAATGTTCTCCATATGGCCGTGTGTGTGTGTGCGTGCATTTGTGTGTGTGTCCCCAAGCACTGAGCCTATCCGCAGGCTGAGCTGCACCCCACCGTTAATGGCCAATGGAGAGGGGGAGTTTGAGCCAAAGTAGCACTATCACCCTCCCTGGGGCAAAGCTCTCGACGCTGCCACTTTCAGCTCTCTTTCCAAATCCGCTTTCCCAGACTTCGGCTTCTCTCGTTGGCTGCTGCGCTGTAGCCCTCAGCAAAAAAAAAAGTCTCAGACTGAGGTCCACTTCTTTTTCCATCAGCCCCTCGACTTTGGCAGCCAGTCCTAAAGGTCCAGGGTTTACTCTTGATTTGAAAAGGGGGGGAACAGCCAGACAGACCTGGGTAAAACGAGTCTGTACTTTGGACTGCAGGATTGTGTCGAGAAACATTTTCCAACTCAATTAAGAAGTGAAAGGGAAAGTCTGACGTGCTGCTCTGTTTTTGTTTTACTGTGAGAAAAAGGGAATATGCTGCATATTATGAAGGGAACTTGTGGTCCTTTAAAACTAGGCTCGATTTTACCATCCTGTGGGATTTGTGGTGGATCCAGGTACAAGAAGAGTTCTGGAATTGCTCCTGCAGATTGATTAAGAGGTCAGATGTGGGAGTGGCTTAAATTGCTGCAGTGTCATCATTCAGGGTGTATCCGATCAAAACTGACAACTGACAAGCTCAGATTTTGAAAGTAGACCCAAACAGAAAGGGGGCAAGTTTTACTTCACTCTCCTCGGCCCAAAAAGCAACAACTCACACCACGAGATCAGAGGTGATAGTGATCCGACTGGATTGAAAAAACATATCTATATGTACATAGACTGAACTTTTTGTTGAAGAGAAGCAGCCAGACACCAGCGTTGCATCTCCCTTGTTGAAGCGCCAGATTCAATTGGCAAGAATAACCATTTGACACTACAGGACACGGGAGTTGCTGCTCTACGACTGCATAGATCAGCTCGCTCATTTGTATTGTGTTGAATCTGAGGCGAACTATTTCAAACAAAGAAGTCAGAGAAAAACACAAAACAAACTCTTTTAACTCTTAGTCTGTTTTATGGCTGTCATCTGAATCTCATATTTGTAATTTAGACCCCAAAATATCTCCCAGAAAAGTCAAAATGATGTAAGCTGATTGGAGAAGAAAATGCACAAAACTCTTCTAATATTTGGAAAAACATCATCTTTAAAAGCCTTACCAGCCTGTTTGTGTCAGAAGTGTGTGTGGACATACTGCTGGTTACTGTAGTAACACTGAGAGACTGAGAGTGAAATATTCAAATGTCTGCCTGAAAGCCTAAATTCTGTCTCCATTTCATTCCCATCCTCCTGACTCTTACCTCTCCTCCACTCTCTCTGCATATTCTCCCATCTGTGAGGTGCTTCACCACATCTCCAGCACTGTCCACGCACGCACACACACACGCACACACACGCACACACACCTCCTTCACTCCCACCCCTCCAGCTGCAGCCCCAGCCGGCTCCACACAAAGGCAGGCCAAATGTATGCTAATGAGAGCCAGGCCAATGGTGGAGCCGCACTCATTTTGAGAGGAAATGGCTTTCAATAATGGCGGCCCCCGGGGGGATTTTGCACAAAGTTCAGCTCCACTTTGAAAAATGCATTCAATTCACTGCAGTGTCTGCTCTCCCTTTTTCTCCAGTTTTTTCCTCCAATGAAAAAAAAAAAACCCATTCCGGGAATATATTTGCGTCCTCTCCTCCTCCTCCTCCTCCTCTCTCTGTATTTATGTTCAGGGGGGAGTCGGGGGAGTGTTGGGGACAGAGGAGCTGTGATTTATCTTTACAGGAACATCAAAACTAAGAACACAAAACATATGAGTTTGAGTAGTGTTCACAGTCGATCTGGCACTTCTGTGGCTCTCCTGCCGAGGAAGTGTCCCCTGCAGCATGTTCACTGTGCCATATACATTTCAAAACTGAAGATTTCCTACGAGTGTTGTGCCTAAAAATACTTCAAAGAGGAGATAAACCGTATTTATCATCTTCACGTGCAAGACGTAAGAGCCGGAGAATGTGGCTGCTACTCGATCAAACATCATTACTTACAAAAGCATCTTTATCGTAGCCTGAACCTGCTGTCCTCTTGTGGGATTTTAAAAGAAACAAGAGCGATATCTAATTTCACAACTGCTTCATCACGGTCTGGACACTCTCTACTAATTTAATGTCACTTTAACTCTTGTGTTTGTAAATCTGTTCTTTTGCAACCAGCAGCACTACCTGTCTTAATGAAAAGGTTTGTCAAATAACAACATAAGAAAAGACGAAAACTAGCTTAACAAGTTAATGTGTAATTTTACATTTACATTATTATATTTTTTTACATTATTGTGTTTTTTTACATTATTGTATCTTTTTACATTATTGTATTTTTTACATTATTGTATTTTTTTACATTATTGTATTTTTTACATTATTGTATCTTTTTTATTTAAATGATGTAAATATGTTTGATCTGTTTTTAAATTCTATTTTTATTTTTATAAGTATAAGTATATTCCCGTCCCCTGTTTTCTGGAGCTGCTGTAATGCACAAATTTCCCCCACGGGGGATCAATAAAGTTTATCTTTATCTTTAGCTAAGTAAGTGTTTTCTTCCTGGACTTACTGACCAATGAAAACTTAGTAAACCACTTGGGGGGCCCCTGTGTGCCTCGTAGCTCACTTAGCCCACATATTCTGTTCATTATTATCTGCAGTGTGTTAATGATTCCGATATGAAAATGCAGACTGTAGTTTTAGTTCATGCAGGTCTGAATGGTTTGGAAGGTTTTCAGCTTTGCAGCCTTTACGACAGAGAGTTTCAAGTTTCAACTCTAACGATGGCTCACGCTCTCTTCTTGTTCTGCGTCTCCGCACAGAAGTTCAGTTTGGACTGCGCTGTCAAAGGCCCTCGAAGCTCTCTCCGTCTGTTTGTCTCCATTTGGGTTTGTCTCCGCAGTAACAGTCGACTTAACTCTCTGCTTCCCCCTTCATGTCTCCCAGACTCTCCTCCCGGCCTGAGCCCTCATGATGTGTGCGCTCCGTGGTGCCTGTCATATCAGGAGGAGCAATAACCCATGAAATGACTCTTCTCTTTTTCTCACTGTTCCACCTCTCTCTCTCTCTCTCTCTCTCTCCATCCCGGTGTCCCCTCTCTTTTCTCCTCCTCTCACTTTCCTCGACACTCCACGCTCCACTTAGCCGCTGGGCTGCTTACATTTCACATAATATAGTCAGGCCATATTCCTGTGTGACGTATGAGCGCTGTGGAGAACACTAGTGTGGAGAACAGAAGAGGTATCTGTGTAAACATGTGGCTTATTCAATAAATAAGAGGAGCATGTGCAGTTGCATTAAACCCACACTAGAGGTTATACATCCTTCATGAGAGCAAGCTGTGTGTGTCGGTGTTAGTGTGTGTGTGTGTGTGTGTGTGTGTGTGTGTGTGTGTGTGAGATCCTCCTGCCTGTGCCCCGCTCTCCGGAGAGTTGAACGCTCCTATTCCTGGGATGAGTAGACACTCCCAAGGCAAACACTCCAGATTTAATTATAAGCTCCAAAGAGGATTAGTCTGTGCCGTGTGTGTGTGTGTGTGTGTGTGTGTGTGTGTGTGTGTGTGTGTGATTGAGGGAGACACAAAGGGAGGGAGGGTCCAGAAGTTATCCCTTCATTTCCTGCATGAGGAATAAGACACACAAAGAGGGTCCTCACCTGGGCTGTGTGCCGTACTGTCGGTCCGCGTCTTCAAAGACTCTCGCAGGACGAGATTCGGCTCCTCTGGGCGCCATCTGTGAGGACACACACGACGAGGGGAAAAAAAACAAACAAAGTCAGGATTTTGTGAGCAGAACACAGTTTTATTGTCCGTTAAGAAGATTTGATTCTTTTTTTCAGTCTCAAGACACACAAACTTCTGCATCAACAAAGATGGGTCTCATGTTGGTGCAAAGTTTAAATAACCATTCAAACATTCAAGTCTCATAGTGATGGACGCAGCCATTGTGTCCTCATCCATTGCTTTGTTGATGTATTTTTTTGAGGCACTGATTGAAGCATTTTGCTCGGTTTTTGTCAATGCAATCTGTTTTGTCTTTTTTTTTTTTTTTTTTTTTAGAACAAAAAGGAACATATTGGGATGACTGGTTGGAGAGGCGTTTCTGTGTCTCCATCCTGGGTGACTTTTGCAGGTAGCCACCCGTCGACTGCTATATATGGAAGTGTTGAAGAAGACGTGAAACAAGAGATTTAAACCATGAACTCATTAGGATTAATTGTGTTTACTGAGGTCATAAAACAAGCTAAAGGTATTTACTCAGAACTTTCTATACTACTACAACCACTGGAGTCGCCCCTTGATGACCATTAAGAAGAATTCAGATTAAAGGCACTTCTAGAAACCAAGAGGCTACCTTCATTTCTTAAAAGTCTTTTGGGTAGTTTCAGTATTTAGACTAAAACATCCATCAGGAGTACGGCCTTGAAGTCAAATCACGCTTTAAAGGAAGTCACTCAGGAAGAGATTTAAGGGAAAGGAAAATGTGTTAATGAGCTGTTTGCAGACCATTCGAGGAACTTGAACCTCGTGGCTGGAGACCACCCATGGTCTGCAGGCTGTTTTTAACCTCGGCGATATTTCAGCCCGATGCTTATTTTTACTCAGAGGATGTGAATGAAGCATTCAAAGCATGCATGTGTCGGTTTGAAGTCGAGTGGTTTCAACGCAAAAAAAAAAAAAGGAGAAACAAGAAAGGGAGAAATCATGTGGTAACGTAAACACATGGGAGGACATGTAAGCACCGTGCCCCTTTAAAGAACATGTGTGTGTGCACGCTACATGCAAACACATCCTCGTAAAAAAAACATGACATCCAGAGCAGGCGGTCGGGGAACTGACGGCCAAAAAACTCTCCTGCAAAACACTCAAATAAATGTGGAAATGTTTGGTACTCTGACGTGTTTCTGGTAATTTTCCATACACACTGAAAAGCCAAAACAGTAGAACCAGCCCACTCCCTTCTTCTTCTTCATTGTCTTCTTTTTTGTTGGCAAACAGCTGTGGATTAAAAGGCGTCATGCGGTGAGGGAGCAGGACAGTCACAGGCGATTTAGTCAGCTTGTTCTCAGCAGGATAAACTTCTGTTCCGTCACCTTGTGCTCCGCACATTACTTACAGATGGGTGACAAATTAGAGAGGAAGATGGTGGACAAATGAGTGGAGAAACAAGATGAATGCAGATGTTTTGATCCAGGGCACGACGGCGCAAAGAATGGTTGGATTAGAATGGAATTGATTGGAGATTTGGAAGGGGGAGACATGTTCGCACTTTCCACAAAACCCCCCCACCCCACAAAAATTCAGAAAAATCTTGAGGAGGAAAGTTGTGCATATGTCAAGTGAGGACACACTTTGATGTTATGCTGCAGCCATTACTGCCCTTTTTCATAGCCGCTGTCTTAAGTTATCTTCTGGAGCGATTCCAAAAAACTCTGTGCCAAGGTTTAAAAATATCATGTTTACCCCTGCATTTGATTTTCAGTATCTGGACTAAGGGGAGAGAGGCTGTAATGGTTTATATGTGAGAATTGAGGGAACTACGTTGGGAAACAGATGTGTTTTTTTTTTTTAAAGTCTTTGTTGCATAAGATTGAAAACGATCTTTGGTTAAGACAATAAAAGAGGCTTTAAAAAAAGGGGGCCGTACCCGCAGGCGGACAGAGGAGGAACGCTGGGGGAGAGAGAGAGAGCATACAGTTTCAATTATCTGTAATCTGGGTTCACATACAAACACAGGCTGTTTACTCAGTGGACGTTTCAGCGGTCAAACACGCCATTCGCCCCCCCCCCCCCCTGCGGCTTTACATACACTCGCCAAGCATGATGGTCAAATACAGAGAGGCAGCCACATGTACAATAAACTGACATGCATGTGTGTACATAAGCGATCGCAGGTTTGGCAGACGCAAACACGGACGTCGAAAGAGGCAAACAGAGATACGTTTGATCACGGCTGTGAAAGCGCTACAACACCCACATGCACAGAATTTAATATCACTCACACACACACACACACACACACACACAGGATAAAGATGAAGAGGCTAAATGACTCCATGCAGGGATCAGTCTGTCGCTGTTTTGCATTAACGTACGAGTTCAAACTCATTCTGCATGTGGATGTAGCCGCGGAGCATTAGCAGGTGTCATTAGCATGTCTCCGTAATGTAGCGAGCCGTAATGTCTCTGAATGGGAGCGCACATCAGACCCAAGGCTGGGGCTGGAAAGTGGCTTTGTGTGTGTGTGTGTGTGTGTGTGTGTGTTAATGTTATGGTAGTCGGGGGAAGGCATGTGCGCGGGTTTTAATATGATGTCGGGAAAGGGAACGCTCCATCTCTGGATGAGAGCATGTGTGTGTGTGTGTGTGTGTGTGTGTGTGTGTGTGATGGGAACATTATGCAAAGAGATGCATAATGTGAGGTAAAGGGGGCATTAGTCTCAGCAAGACGCTGGGACTCAGGTGGAAGACCTTCTGCGTGTGTGTGTGTGTGTGTGTGTGTGTGTGTGTTGAACAAGGTGTAATACATCTTCTGACGGTGAAGCGGGGGAGAAAAAAAATGAGAGGGAAGAGAGTGATGAGGAGGGGAAGAAATATATGTTTAGGTAGAACGAGTGAAATTCTTTGTCCAATGATTGTATTAACATAACAGCCTGAAGCCAGGGGTCTGCTTTATTAACTTACACACACACACACACACACATTATCGCTGTCGATCATATGGATGCTTTTCATGCTGAACCCCCTTCAGAGTCAGATGATGCGCCTTGTAACACTGCTGTCGCTTTCCCACACGCACGCACGCCAGTAAACAAACACACAGAGCAAGCATCACTCTCACCATGGCAACTGGTAAAACAGCAAAATGAAATTCACCCATGTTTGCAGTGAAAACTTCACTTCAGCAGTCAGACTTCTGAGGGAGCTGCGATCGCCGAGCGATGATGACATCGTCATACCTCGCATGCAACGCCGGTTCCACGTCCACGTCCTCGTCCTGAACCCGGTGACATCATCCACAGCAATGTGTGCGTCTACGGTTAATGCATATGTGTCCTGTGAGTCGGTGGTTATCAGAGGGGAAGTTAATGTCTTGCGCAGACGGTAGCTGAGAGAGAGCCAGGTTCTCTTTAAAGTCGATGCCAGACACACACACACACACACACACACACACACACACACACACACACACACACACACAGGAGGGAATTTCCTTTTTCTCATGAGGGTCATGTGGTGAAACTGGAAGAGACTTTATTAACGTTGGAGTTCACTGCGGTTGTGTCTGCCAGTTCTCACTCCCAACACGTCAAACACAGCAGAGATGGTCAGTGGCCCAAATGCTCCGGGGACCAACTCCAGCCCACGCATGACATCAGAGTGGCCCGTGGATCAAAATAAATAACGAATAAACAGGGGGGGGGGGGACTTCTGATTGACTGTCATTGTTGCCACCGTAAAGTTTTGAAAACAGCACAGCGCTCCCGTTTAATAGGACTCGGCCACCGGCGCCAGATACATCTTTTTAAAAGTGCACGATTCACAGTCAAGCCGCTGATTCTCACAAGTTCAGAGAGAGAACATGTTGGTTTTGTGCATGTGCATTATTGATGTGTCATCTTAGCCTCACTATCAGCTGATCTTCAGATTGATTTGAATGGTTTTTTTTTCTCATCAGGGAAGCAAATGAGCTTCAACACATCAGAACAGACTTTTCTATAAAGTGCCCATTTGTGTCGAGTCATTGTGTAGTTTCAATCCACCAGCTGACAAACGCTCTGACAGAATGCTTGGCTCGTGTGTGTGTGTGTGTGTGTGTGTGTGTGTGTGTGTGTGTGTGTGTGTGTGTGTGTGTGTGTGTGTGTGAGTGTGAATGAGCGGAAAGTCACTTTTCCATTTTTCCAAATTAGAAAGCCGCGCTTTGACAGTGCCAGATGATACGTACTGGAGCACACATACACACTCGCGCAGCAATCATCTCGAGCAGCACAGCTGTCGCATTCATCAGAAAGTATTGTCGGAGCTCAGGAAATGGATTTCTTGGAGCCCTTTTGGCTTTGCTGTAAATTTGCGATGCTCGTAAATACAATAAGCCTCAAATGAGAGTCCAAGTGCTTTGACACAATGCCTGAGCGGGGCTTTCATCCTGCCACTGAGATGCTCCGATCTGCTTTTTCCAAACTGAGTTCCCTCTGCTGTCTTCTTTCAAATGGCATAATTAGTCTCCTGTATTGCCATCTATTCCTCCATCCATCCTTTCCTCCCTCTCTCCATCTCAGATGCTAATTAAGCATGTGTCTCAGCTCAGCGTGGAGCCTCCGCCTGCCACCCCGAGTCCACCTCCTACTGGCAGCTTCAACCCATCGCGCCCTGACTGGCACCGTGTCGTGGATCTCATCCCAAATCCACGCTCCCCTTTCTCCCGAAAAATCAATCTGTCACGAGGTGAAGCCGACTCCCCGAAGGGAGATGAGATAGAGAGGGAGAGAGAACGAGCCGGCACAGGATGGAAAACTGAAAAGTTTGTGAGAAGTCGGATGGAAAGCAAATCAGGAACTTTTGAGTCAAACTAATACAGCCACCAGATGTTTGACAGTTTAAGAATAACCCTGAAATGCACAACAACAGAAACGAGCACAAAGCATCATGCTGCAGAAACATCTCCTGAGTTACCATGGCTACGTTGGAGGCTTCCAATCAGCCGTTTTGCAACTTTTTATGGGAGGTTAATATC